AGGTAGGGGGGGGCGACTGGTTTAGGCAGCAAAGACAGCGGGGAGGGAGCCACCAGCACCAAGGTACCACCTCAGATCCAGCCCGCAGGCCATCTATTAAACTCCCTGGATCGACTCCCGTCAGGGGCCTCGCCTCGCCAGTGGGCCAGCGAGCCAGCGAGCCGCTAATCAAGGCAGTGGACAGTGGGCACTGGGCTAATCAAGGCAGTGAGTGGGCACCGGGCTAATCAAGGCAGTGAGTGGGCACCGGGCTAATCAAGGCAGTGAGTGGGCACCGGGCAGCAGCCAGCAGCGCCGTACCTACCTAAGGCAGGTACAAGCCGTTTGTTCCAGCCAACCGCAGGGCCTCGTCAGCCCCAAACGCTCGTGCCGCCCCTTGGTCCCCCTTCTTGCGCCGAGCCAGTCTCCAGTCACGGCTACCTTCTTTCTCCCTGCTCCTGCCTTGCCTGCCTTGCCTGCCTACCTTAGGTACCCAAGGTACCTAGCTAGCCTGCCATCCGCCCCTCCCCAACCTCACCTCAACGTCTGTTCGCCCTGCACTGCATTGTCTCGTCTGGCCATTTTTTGCTCCTTTGCCCACCTCATCGCTCGGTTGTTTCTTGAATACACCCTCCTTCGTTTTTTCTAAGCATCCCATTTTTCTCTATCTCTCTCTCTCTCTATTTACTAGCCCGACTCAAAGACGGAAGGACGCACCGCACACACCCCTTTCCGCATCGTCCATCCGTTCACTCGTTTCATCGTAACCGCTGTGGCCTCATCTTGGGCCCTCCTTCACCCACGACCTCCCAAAAACCAAACATCACTACTACTACCATAACCGCTTGCCTTGGACCTCGTTCTTTGCCATCGTCACATCGTCACATCATCATCGCATCCGCATTGCGTCCAGCAGATAAAAACGACCATCGATCGAGACACACAGCGCGAGTCCCGCCTGGGCCTGGTCTCGTAGCGCCCTCGACCTCAAAGGGCTTCCTCGCCTTCTTTTTACCATTTTCCCTTCGTTCCAGGTTGATCCTCGGCCATCTTTGTTTTCTTGTCTCTTCGAGCTGTGCTTCGTCTTTCCAACAACCACCTTTCGACACCCCTTTTTTTGTCACCCGCTCTTCCACGTTCTTTGATCGCCTCGTCTTTTCTGCCATTCGTCACTCTCGATCGAGTCCCCTTCGCCAACTACAACACTATAACTCGAACCCTTTCACGCCAACCTGATCCGCGACGATCCCTGAGGGACCGCCGAACCAGACCTTCATCTCTCTCCATATCTCTCTGCATCTCTGCCTCTCTCTATCTCTCTCTCTCTCATCTAGCATCACTTGACAACCAGTTCAATCACGAAAGCGAGCATCATAGGCTCTTTATGGCCTTTAAGGGAAAGAAGCTTTGAATAAGCTCAAACTGCACATAGACGAATTGGATAGACGGACCGGAGCTCACCTCCAAGACCCCCCCGACCAACAAACATTCCTCAGCAACAGAAATCCATCAACATTCCACACTACCCGAAACATGCCTTCCAACCATGTTCGATGGGGTCCGCGGAAGCTTCTCCTGCTCGCCGCGACCCTGATCAACACCGCCGCCGCTGACGAGATTCTCTCCACCGTCGGCTTCACCACGTGCGGTCCCAGCAATGCCGACGTCAAGGTCAACAAGGCCGACATCACCTACAACAATGCCGACAAGACGGTCGTGTTTGACGTCTCAGGCACCAGCACCAAGGTCCAGAACGTCACGGCCGAACTCAAGGTGACGGCGTACGGCAATGAAATCTACTCCAACAAGTTCGACCCCTGCGACAGCAGCACCTTTGTCGAGCAGCTCTGCCCCGTCCCCGAGGGCACATTTGGCGCCCGAGGCACCCAGAAGATCCCCGAAGAATTCGCCAAGATGGTGCCCGCCATTGCGTTCCAGGTTCCCGACATCGCGGCCCTCGCCACTCTCGAGCTCAAGTCGGTCGACGGTGGTTCCGAGGTTGCCTGCATCCAGTCGCAAGTCTCCAACGGCAAGACGGCCAGCGTCGCCGCCGTGTCCTATGTCGCCGTCGGCATTGCCGGCGTCGCCCTCATCGCGACCGGTGTCTCTGCCCTCGGCTCCGCCGTCGCTGGCGGCAGTGCCGCAGCCGGCGGCGCTGGTGGCGCTGGCACGCCCAGCCCCAGCTTCACCGAGACGCTCGGCTGGGTTCCAGGGCATGGCCATGAACGGCATGCTGTCGGTCAACTACCCGCCCGTCTACCGCAGCTTCTCAGAGAACTTTGCCTTCTCCACCGGCATCGTTCAATGGAACGACCTCCAGATCGGCATTGACAACTTCCGCGGCATGACTGGTGGTGACCTCAGCAAGGACAGTTTTGAGCTGCTGCGCAACGCCACGCTCACCTTCCCCGACGGATCGACTTCGCAGAACAACGGCGGCGGTTTGTTTCAAGGCCAAGCGCGCCATGAAGCAGTTGTCCGTGCTGCTGGCCCG